GGGTCCGGGCTGGGGATTCGAACCTGCCACCTTAGGTGTACGTGGCTGGCGCCTTAGCCAGTTGAGCTATAGGCGCCGAGCCTATTTTTCCTTTTTTGAAGACTATTGTCTTTGCTTAAACATGTTTAATAACAGGAAGTGAATTACCTCACAGGTACCCTTGTCCATTGTTGGACAGCACCAACTACAGGAAGAATTTTAACTTGAGCATAAATCTGAAATTGTAGAAGTTACACCTTGAAAATGATTTCTGGTGGATAGGAGGCGTATTCATCACTGGCCTATCAAGAGAGTTCTACATTCTCTAAAGTATTTCTGAAATAGAGAATTCAATTTGGTTTAACGAATATTTGATATATTAAAAAGGAAGCTTATATTTCTTATATATTTTTTTTAAATTTGAATGAAACTTTACAGTTTAATTTTAAAAACATCAAAATCTGCCCTGTTACTTTTCTCATTTATATCATTTATTGGAATTATGCAAAACATCCACACGAGATGTATACCGTCTCTGTCTGTGAAATTGCTGCTGCTCACAGATAAATCGTCAGGGGTTGAGATGCCATTGGTACTGGAATTTCCAATTTTCTTCTGTGTTAAGTACTCAAGACTCATGTTACTGTTATGTTGTGACTCCTTTGTCAAGTTTAGAAAGACCTAGAAAGAGAAGCCGGACCCCTTCATTAATATAAGAAGTGCATGTCTTTTCTAACTCTAAGCTTCATTTTGGTTTTAAATCATCACAATTTATTGAGACAAATATTTCCCATCTGACTTTAAATGAACATTTTTATTCATAAACCACATGGGCTCTCTTGTTGGAGCAACATTTGAATTCTCAGAAGTCAGTCCTTCATAAAAACATTACTGAAATACTTTTAAACTTTTCAGATTTTGTGACATATTTATTTATTTTTTAAACCCACACATATTTATTCCAAGGGAACAGCAAGTTATATTAGCTTTAAGAAAAAAAGAGAAGTCAGTGTGTACCTCTTCCACGGTGGTGTCTGAGATGCCGTAGCACCCGATGTTGAGGTCACCCATGCCAGTGTCCAGTGCTCGTAGGAGTGAGAGGTAGGCTCCTGAGACTTTGGTGTTAAATGGAGGGAGCACATAAACAAGCTCTCCGCCAATATCCTCTTTGAGGTAGGCTTCAGGGAGGTGCGATCGGATCATTGCTGTCACAGCCATGGTGTCACATACCATATTTGCATTTAGATTTGGACGCTAGAGACAAAAACAGAAGTTAGACACTCACTTCTCTTTACACTATTGTGCCCCCAGGGTCCTAATCAGAGGAGGGTGAGTTCTTTTAGGTCACTCCAGACCTGAGATCTCTGAGATCACATATCACTGCTCCAGTGTGCTCTGTCCCAGTCACAGTTTTCTGCAAGTCACTACTCTACTGGCCCTAACCTCCCACCCCAGGTCATCATCCACCATCTTCCCTCTCTCTTGCTCTGTGTCAGCAGTAGTTGTCTTTTCTCTTGCTAGCAGATGACTTCAGGTTCACATACCCCGACACCTAGCCCCTGCCCAAGGCCCTTGTAACTGGTCTTCCTTTGCTCCCAGACTGTGACATGTCTGATTCATGCACCAGCTCTAATTCTTGGCTCACCTGTCACTTTCTCAGAGACCTCTTTTCTTATTACCCTACTTAAAAATGGCACCGCTCAGCATCCCCTCTTCCCCCTCTCCGGCTCCATCTCTATTCATAGTAATTACTAAATAATTTATTGATTGATTGTATCATCTGAATCCCTCACACTCCATCAGAATGCAAACTCCATGAGGCAGGAATTTTCATCAGTTCACTGCTGAGCTAGTACAGTGTTTGGGCACATCCTAAAGCATAATAAATATGTAATATGTAAATATCTGAATGAATTATTGACTATGGCAATGAACCATTTTTTTTTTGTATTTGGAAGTCACATCAAGATAATTAGATATTAACTAAATAGTGGTAGTCTAAACCCACCTAACAGCATATAGATCTTGCATGGTATTGTCAAATTATATGTTATTTTAGGGGGTACAGAGATCTTTAGTGAGCTCTTTTGTTCTTCAAAAGATGTAAAAGCATCACTGACCTAAGTTATAGTCCCCATGCTGTCACTTGAGAAGTACTGATTAAAAAAGTGAATACATGACTTCAAATTCTTTTCATTTGCTTTTGATAAAGCTGAAAATGGAGTTTTTAACCATATAAATTGAAATGCTAGGGGAACTAAAAGGCTGATTTCTCCATAAGTAACCTGAAAGCACAGATCATTTTTTTTACCCAGCTCATTGCTTCTCAATGTACAATCCCCAGACCAGCAGCATCAGCGCCCTCTGGGAACTTATTAGCAATGTAGTAAGTTCTGCACCCCACCCCACCCCCAGACCTACTGAATCAGAAGCTCTGCTCCTGAGGCCAGAATACTGAGTTATAATCAAGACTCCAGAATTCAGATGCTCACTCAAGTTTGAGACCCATCAAGGTAGCATATGAATGAAATTTAGCAATGAACGAAGGTGGGAGATTTTGCCTCCACTTCACATGCAACAGTAATTTGTGACCCCGTAAGGCGGCACATTTTCTCTCCCACCAACCTTCTTCTTGGTCAGCGTGAGGTGATACCCATCCCCAAATGTTTCCTTGAGGTAAAACGGGGACCCGCAGCACCGGAGCCCGCCCTGCTCCAGGAAGGCGATGCGGTCACTCAGCACTTCTGCCTCGTCCAAGTGGTGCGTCGACAGAATGATTGTCCTTGCTTGAAAATACAGATGAAAGCAACAGAGAATGAGAAATGAAGACACAGGTCCCAAGATGCACAGACTCAACAAGAGGGACTCCTGTGACATCATGAGAAGAGTCACGTTTTACGAGCTAATTGAAAAACTGACAACAAGGAACTTCAAAACTGATCAAAGAAAAAATCAGAAGGGGGTGTTCTTAAATATTGGAGAGTATTTTTCATATGAGGTGAAAGCAAATAAGCTTTTATTACACCGATTGGCTAAATGTCCATCATTTGTCATGGGGGCCTCGGCGACTCTTCCCAATCTATCTGAGTTTTGCTCCCATGGCTTCATTTTGCATTCCCCCTTTCTTCACTATAAAAAAGCAATAATTTTGATGGCTTTCTGAATATTCCTGTTTGATTAATCCTCTCCACCCTGATTATTCCTTTGCTTCACAATCCTGTTAGCACTTACTTAGTCTGTTTTCAGTTTATTTTTGTTTGTGTATGTTTCATATCTCTAATTAGATTCTTCTTCACTCCTCTAAGCCGCCTTTGGAACTTCTGTTGAATTTGCATGCTCTCAAAAAGGCCAGTCAAATGCTCAGTTCACAGTAGGCACTAGATAGATAATAACTAATTGATCCAGACAGCTGGGAGAAGAAAAACCTCTTAGGGGGAAAAGCGTGAGCCCATTTTAGAGTTTTAAATGATGTATCATAAACAGATAAGGCTTCAACTTGTGCTTGTGTGTCTCAGAGGGCAGAATTATGACAGTTTGGGTGGAGAAATTACAAGGAAGTACGTACCAGTTTTGTTCTTGCATATAACATCCCATATGCTTCGGCGAGAACATGGGTCAACACCAGTGGATGGTTCATCCAGAATGACTACCCTTGATCCGCCGATGAGTGCTATGGATATAGACAACTTCCTCTTCATTCCTCCCGACAATGTTCCAACTCTCTTATGGCGATGGCTATACAGTCCTGTATCTTTTAAAGTTCTTAGAAAATAATGTATGACGGTTATTTTTTACAGATTATTTGAATACTGGAAAATACACTAAAGCAACAGAGAATGAGAAATACACTAAGTGACAGGTCTTCACTGAGCAACTTGCATGTGCTCAGAAAAGTAGAATAAATAACTGAGGATTCACAGTATAGTTTTCTATTAATTGTTACCCAGTTGTAGGTACCAAATTAGTACTCAGAAAAAACACAAGGGAATATATACATACTTCATTCATTTGACAAATATTGACAGAGTTCCTGCTTATTTTGTGCTAGGCTATGTTCTAGTGCTTGGGAAAAGCAGTGAGAAGATAAAGTTTCTTTCTACCCATAAGGAGGTTATCTTCTAGTATGTGGGGGTATTTGGACGGATGCAGGAAATCTACTCAGTAAATGTATTTCTGAGTAAGTTTATAATATGCCAGGTGATAAGTGCAAGAAAAAAATAAAGTAGAGGATGTGAAGTAAGGAGTGTCTGGCACGTCTATTTTAAGCATCTATTCTATACACAGTGATCAACTGAGAGGTCACGTATGAGCAGAGATAGAGAATGTGGTTGTTTGACCATGAGTAAGTCAAATGGCTATCTGAGGAAGGATGTGGTGAGCACAGAGAAAGTGATGGGCCCTGAGACTGGAACAGGCCTAATGTCGACCTGTGTGTAACTCGGCCAGTGTGCCTAGAGTAGAGTGAATGTGAGAAAGAGTGGAAGGGAACAAATTAGATGTGAGACTGGGGACAAGTCATGGAAGACCTTAGAGGCCTTAATAAGGACATTACTGAGCGTCACACTGAGCCTGGCAGGAAGCCACTGGAAGGCTGAATCTCAAAATGACATGGTCTAATTTGCAGTTGAAAAAGATCCTGGCTCGGCGCCTATAGCTCAACCGGCTAAGGCGCCAGCCATGTACACCTAAGGTGGCGGGTTCGAATCCCCAGCCTGGACCCGCCAAAACAACAATGACGGCTGCAACCAAAAAATAGCCGGGCGTTGTGGCGGGCGCCTGTGGTCCCAGCTACTTGGGAGGCGGAGGCAGGAGACTCGCTTGAGCCCAGGAGTTGGAGGTTGCTGTGAGCTGTAATGCCACGGCACTCTACCCAGGGGGACAGCTTGAGGCTCTGTCTTAAAAAAAAAAAAAAAGAAAAAGATCCCGTGGTACCTCTTCCACATACAAGAGAAGTGTGGAAGCTGAGAGTCTAAGTAGGAAGTTTTGACTGATGTAACATCCTTGCAGATTAGAAGCAAAGGGTTTGGGACAACGTAGGAGCCGGAAATGAAGAGCATTCGACAATTTCAGTATAATAATTGGCTGGTGAAGGTACTGGCATTTAATTTATTCAATATTAAAGAATATTAATTCTTAAAGAATCCAATATTAAAAAAAGAAACAAATAAACAGCAATTGTTTCATGAGAAAACATCTCTTATTGGTATTCTTACCAGAGCTTCTGCAACCAAGCTGTGGGTCTTTGAGAGGAGTTGACAACTCACATTCTCATTGCTGTCACAACTCACCTTTTTACTTCCTCATGGAGCTGCTTCTTAGTCCAGTGAGGAACCTTGATGGACCCATATAAGAGCAGGTGCTCCTTGGTGGTGAGGTAACTGAACAAGACGTCGTGCTGCATGCAGACCCCCATGTTCTTCCGCACCGTGTGCAGGTCTGTTTTGATGTCTTTCCCATACACAAAGATGGTGCCTGCTGAAGTCCCAAATAGCCCAGTCAACATGGAACTGGAAGTGAAGAAATGATAAATTAGGTATGAACTAAGTGCTTAAGCTAGATATCAGGACTAGATATATCACAGTTGTAGAAAAAAAAAGTTACAGTGTATCTTCTCAAGCAAGAGCAAATTGTGAAATAAAATGGCATTAAGTGGGAATAAAAAATACAAATTACTTTTAAGTACTTTTTTGGTGTCACGTGAACACTCCATGGTGATGGTGGTGGGAATGACAGGGGCTGTGCTTTGTTATTTCAAGTTCATGCTCTCATTGAGCAAACTCAGGCACTTCCCTGGCACCCTTAGTATCTACAGGCTGACACGTCTCAAATTTGTGTCTCTAACCCTGGTCTCATCACTCAGTTCCAGGTTTGCTCTGTACCGATAATACAGTATTTTCTAACCTTTTTTTTTTTTTTTTAATCTCAGAGCACCCTTGAACCTATAGTTAAATTTCCATGGCATGCTTAATATTGATCAAAAAAAAGCAAAACAACAACAAAAAGAATATCCTTACTGTGCTTTGAACTTCTTTTGAAAATAATTTAATTAATGATCTTTAAAAATGTTTACAGTATGCCCTCATGACTCTAGCAGACACTGTCACCGCTCTGTGCATCTCACAGTGCCCTCAATTTCAACATATTTAAAACTGAGCTCATAATCTATGCCTTCAAAGCCACACCCTCATGAAACCTACCACTGTCACCGTGTGATATACCTGTAAAACAACAGTCGCACAAGACTGGAATCCAGAAGTCATTTTTCATACCCTCATCCATCTCTTCCTAATTACACCCCCATCTCTCCACAAGGCCAGCCACCATCACCCACTTGCCTACCCCATCCCTAACTCTACTTCCTACATGCTGTTTGGTCATCACTAGTCCTTTCCCCTCCAGTGTGACTACAATATTTTCACCTAGATAATTTCCTATCTGGACAGTAATTCCTACTCATCTCCTCCACTATGCTGTGAGTCCATGAGGTCGAGGAAAGGGCCTGTTTCTCTGCACTCTGCACTGTGCCCAACCAGTGCCTTGCATTGAAGTCTTACAGATTAAATAGGGAATCAATAGAATATGAAATTTTCCCATAAAAAACATTGAAATACAAATAATGTACTTTATTCTTTATATTACAGGATTACATTTAGAACAATAGTGGCATTATCTGCTAAAATTACAGCCTCTTCAAAAGCTTTTCTATACTTTTCTTGCAGGTCTCTGGCTGCCTGTTAGAAATCTGCCCTCGTAAGCTTTGCATTCCCCCAGAAGCCAGCTCTGAGTTTAAACAGGGCATGCAAATAAGAGAGGCTGTAAGTTTCCTCATTTCATGACCTTCCTTTATCCTTTTTTGTTTACCACACATAAAAAAGTTAATTCCAATGTTTGGCAGTCACTGAGCTTCCTCGTGACGATGCTAAATAGGATATACAGCAGCTGACGCCTTCTCTCAACCAAAGGCCAGAGTGCAATCAGCATCTTAGAGCCGATTCACCAGCAAGGTAAGTGTGGAGCATTGGAAGCAAGTTAAAATTCCAAAGAATGTCACTTTAAAACCATCGGAATCTCTTCTCTATTCTGAGGCAGGAAAATGCTACTTAAGAGTGGGGAGAACGGCCCACGTGCTACTTCTGCGCTTTTTGATGTATCTGCTCGTTGGTGGGTCTTTTGTTTCTTTATTAACCAAGGTAAGGATTTTCTGTGATGGAGAAGGTGGAGTTGTGTTTACACCAGGATGTGCCATGTCAAGTTTATCCACAGGTTGGGACAGAAATGCAAAGAAATGAAACAGCCTGGGTGTACAAGGCAATATGGATCAGTGGGAGTCGGGAACGAACCAGAAGGCAGGAGCTCCCTTTAGGAGACCAGTAACTAACAAGTCCCAACAGGTAGTCCCTCCCTGAGAACGTCGCTCAACATTGCAGAATTTCCTGTTATCTAAGGGATGCCAAGAATATTTATTTTTATTAGACAACTCCCCATTTTTAAGTATTGGCACTGAATTAAAATTTTTGGAAAGTATTATGTAGACCACCCAAATATTAATAGTCCTGGGCCTGACCTGATGTTTGAGCCCACAATTGTGAACCTCTGGTTTAGACTCCATTCTGTAGCATCTGAGTTGAACCATCTGACTCCATCTTGGAAATGAAATAAGTTTCTCTTTTATAAAAGAGGGTTAGTTTATTAATAAAACTATCTTCTTACAATATGCTTCCATGACAATGTGTTGGAAGTAACTTACATGGTAGTAGTTTTGCCGGCTCCATTGGGCCCCAGCAATGAGGTAATATGCCCTTCATAAAAGTTCAGATTGAGGTTATCAACAGCAACTTTTGAGCCATAGATCTTTGTAACCCCATGCAGGGCGACTCCGACTGTGAGATCTTTAGGCTCAGGCTCAATGTTGGAAGGGAACATGTGCTCAGGACCTGGAGAGAAATCAAGAGGAGAGTTGTAAGCTCACAGATAAGAAAATGCAGCCAGAATCAGACTGGGTCTTAATTAAACATTGAAGACTATGAAAATATAATTCTCTAAGTTAAAAAAAAGTTCCAGAAGCAAATGATCTAATGCAGTCTTCAGTCTTCTTCTCACTTGATTAAGATTGAATGAGAGTGGGGAACTAAGGTTTATATCACCTTTCTCTGTTGGAAAAAGTAGCCACAGAATATAGCATCCTAATCGTAAATTCCACTTTCTTTAATGGATCTTAAACATTCAATAGCTGTGTTTAAGGCTTGGTCCTCTCATTAGATGGGAAGATACAAAGTAAGAAGTAAATGTGTACGAGTTGTGATTTTACAGTGAGACTAGTTCAGATAGGTAGCTCATAGAATCCAGTCCCGTAATTACTATGTACAACTCCTTCAGGCACCCCCAAAGGACCACTTATGTGGGCCATACTTTATAAAGATGGCCCACATATTCACCCAGCATTAGTTAAGACCAGCATTGAACTGTCTTTCAGTGTTAGTAATGAGTTATGCTAAATTACCCGCATTTGTTACTTGGTTACTTCTTACGACTGGTGACAGATGGCTAGAGCTGGGGGCATAGACTGTGGCCAAGGAACAAAATTTTTCTCTGTTTGAGTCTAACTGGACTACAAAGAGATCTGCACTCTTGGCCTAATTAGCACCATATGCTAACCAGCTGAGCTAATGAGCCCAGAAAAAGCCCCAGTGTAATCCCCCAGAGTCTAAACATGTGTGTGTACGCGCACTCATCCATGACTAAAGGGATGCTGATTTTGCCATTTAGGAAAAATCATATTAAACCACTAGCCATGTGCTTTGTGTGTCAGTTCTCTCGTTGTCATTCACGTTGTCGACCTACTTGTCTTACTGGCAGATGGGTTGGTGCTCTGCATCATGATGTTCGTAAACATGAGGCCATTGCTCTTCTCAGGCTTCACCTCGGCACACCCAAACCGCTCCTTCCAGTAGGATGGAAGGATTGGAAAGTACCATGGAGCTGCCATCCCATATGTCCCTGTGATAAAAAAAAAAATGTATTCAGGAAAGTGATTATTAATTGATTGTTAACATGAAACATCGGAAACTAAGCAATAGAAGACTGCATACAGCTTTGGAAGTCATTTCATGTTTTGATATTACCAACACTAGAGGATGGTCTCTGTTTCCAAAGGAAAGTAAAAAAGATAACTTTGTCTTTTTATTTTTTAAAAGCAGCTTCATTGAGGTATAATGACATGTCACAAAATTTACTTATTATAAGTGTCCAGTTAGATGACTTTTAGTAAATTTATAAAGTTGTGCAACAATCACCACAATCCAGTGTTAGAATATTTCTATGACTTGAAAAAGTTCTCTCATGCCCATTTACAGATAATCCCCGCTCCCACCCAAGTCCTAGGCAATCACTGACCTGCTTTCTGTCTGGGCATATTTTATCTTTTATTGAAATCTTATACAAATGAAGTAATATTCTTTTATTCACTTACTTTATCAAAAAATGTACCAACACAAATAAAGTCTAAAGGAAAAACACCTATGCATGTTAGAGGGAAGACGGCTTGAGATCTAAAGGGGGGAATCCACTTGGGTTCTGCCTTTAGAATCTGGTAGCTTCTCCTTAGACGACTTGACTTTCGCCTTATAATATCTCACATTCCTATTTGAAAGACTGGATTGATTTGCAACACTATTCCATGCTTCTTAGTTGATTCCACCTCTAGAAGGATATCAGAGAGGGAATTCAGCAGTGAATGATCTCATCCAGAAAAGTTCTGGTTACTTTTGGGAGGAGAGTACTTTTTTGTTTGTTTTGGAGATTAGATATGGCAAGTCAGTTATTAGAACATATACATTAGCTGATTTATAAGGATGACGACCATAAAAGGCATATATCTGTGTAAACACGTTTGTACCTGGGAAAACGTTCCTGACGTACCAAGCAACAAGGAAATAAATGAACGAGTCAGCTAGGATTAGGCAGCACAGCCAGCCAAACGAGGTGGTGTCATCCTGAACTGGGGAGCTGTACATATTCTCCCACTGAAGACCTGGAAAGTGAACACACATCTTTATTCCTCTGTGACACACATCACAGCTGTAAAGGATAAATCTGATTTTAGAGAAGGTGAACGCACCGATGCCCTGTTCTTCATATTGTGCAATGTACTGGCTTGCATAACTGAATGCGGTTGGGGACAGCAGGCTCTGTGAAGAAAATGAACAGCAATGATTGTTCTTGGGGATGTCATTCATTTCACCCAGGCGGACCTTAAAATACTTAGAACTTTGGACATTTGTGTAGATACATTTGATGTTCACTCTCTAAGAATGTTTAAAAACACAGAAGTCCCTTATCGACTATGCTACATCTCTGAAAGAATATAGAAGGAATAACAGAAAAAACAAGTACGAAAATTGCAACTTGAAAAATATGTGTTAGAAATTTAAAATCTACATGTAAACTTATTAAACGTGGTTCAACAATATATAGAATAGAATAATTATAGAATAATGCAGCATTGAGACTAAAATTAAATGAAAACTGTAGCAGCCAGAACATATTTTCACTTCATAAACTTATCTCAGGTAATGAAAGGGTCCTGCGTAAAAGTATACTGAAACATCAGTGGATTGAGTACTGACAATTGCACCACATTACAAATCTGGTTTTTGTTTAAACTCAGAGCTAAGTGAAAGTTATTCACTACTTTCTATTTCCATAAACCACAAAGTTTTAATACAATGAGATTTGCTTTGGTTTGCTTAAAGCTTTTGTTAAGATTCTTAAATTAATTTAGTGCTTTTGAATTGAAAAGGCAGAAAGGAATTTAGAGTTAATTACATGCTGTCAGTGCATTTTTCTTTATGCCTGTAAGTTACATTACATGTCATGAAAACCATGAGAATTGATCACATCTGAGAATAATTCCAACATTCTCAGATGTTGGAAGAGGCTCCGAGATACTGAAGGAGTTGGATGAGAGAGGAGTCAGAATTCTTTTTTTTTTTTTTTTGGCCAGGGCAGGGTTTGAACCCACCACCTCTGGTATATGGGGCCGGCGCCCTACTCACTGAGCCACAGGCACCGCCCCAGGAGTCAGAATTCTTGACGACCTCTAGAACATATTGTATCCCATTTTAATTTGCTTCAGGAACGATTTCTTAACAGCATCACACATTATGGTTTTGGAAGCTTTTCATTGTCTTTTACTTTATGGGACACAATGATGTGAAAAACTGTCATTAGGACATTAAGCTTATTTTGCTATTATTGGATTCTTAAATTTAGATAAGTGAACTTTCAGTTTGAGAATCTAAAAATAGTCTATTCAGTCTACGCATCTTCCACACTGACCGTTCCAACTGTTGGCTTACCATGAACACTTTTATGACATAGTTCAACTCATTTTCAACTGTGACCAGAACAATAAACGGAAAGAAGGCAATGATGTAGATGAGGCTTCCGATGAGAGCGGCAATGTTGGTGTTGTTGAAGAAGACACTGATGAGATAGCTCATGGCAATGACTGAGAAACTGTAGTCCGAAAAGTACAGGAACAAAATGAACCCGTTTGTTTTGGGAAGAATATTGCCAAACTTGAGTATAATGATGAGGATCACAATGGTAATTAGTAAAAATCCAACACTCTCGATAAGCCAGGCAAAAAAGTGGCTACAGGAGTTCACACCCATCATCTTCATGTACTGTAAAAAGGAGAAAAGGTGAGCGATTATGCTGAAAAGTAACCATTCCGGTATCATATCAAAATGCCCGGGAGAGTCTCCATAGATACAGAACTAGGCATCTTAACGATTTACATAAATGAAGCATTTATTCATGTTCATGTGTGAACTACACCTGTGTATACCAGTTATCTTAGATTCTATGAGCTCAGAATGCCCCAACACAATAAATGATTTGGATGGAGAGGTTCTTTAGTTTTTAATCACCATTCCATTTTATAATTGGCATCTAGCTGATGTTTCCAGATTAAACCAATTTAGAACAGATCATCAAATTTATGGTATCTCCTGCAGAATTTTACAATATGAATTTGACATTTGTGTAGGCATGAATATTTCAAGCCAGCAAAAAAGCATAGTTTAACTACAAGTTCCGTGTAGAGGCTGAGATAATAAAAATCCTTCAATTTTTTTTACTATTAATGAACAAAACAATTACATTCATGTTCCCGATGGAAACAGAACAAGCCTGATTCCTAAGAATTTAAAACATGGAAAATTAAAGGCAACCTTCCACCTTTAGCCATATCTTCCCCCTTTTTAACATATACTGGTAGTCTAGGCCGTGTGTCATCTTTGTTTTCCAAACAGACATTCATAAATCCATAATAAACTCACGTATTTAAGATACTCTATCTTTCTCTCTCAATTGATATTATCTGATATAAATCGATGATGTCTGTAGAGGCCAAGGCATTTTACACGGCAGAAAAACAAACCAGCCTGACCTGTTTGTGCATTAACTGAAAAGGATTCTGAAAGATCTCAAGTCCCCTGGACCTTGGTTGTCTTGAATTTGGTGACATGTACATGGGGAGAACCTGGACATCCTCATTTCTAGTTTAACAATTCATGATTAACATTAAGCTTATGAACTTAATATCTCATTAAAAAATACTCCATTAATAGCATTATGATCCATTTTTTTTATATAAAAAATCAAGGATTTTCAATACCCCACCCCCATAAACCTAACTTGTTGGGGTGGGGGGATAAAGAATGCATGTTTTTCTCTCTGTTTTTCTCTACAAGCAAAATAGTGAATTTTACTTTCTGCCTTTGTAACTTACCACATTTTGATAACTCTGCTGCTCCTGTTGTTACCATGGAAACTGCTACCTGACTGCCAACAGTCTAAGCTGTGGGCTTTAAACTAATCACCACTGCGGAAAAGCTGGTGCCTTTTCCTCTGAACTTTGCCTTGTTCCTCACCTGCTTCTCTTCCTAATGCTTTTCTCCTCCTAGGCCCTGTCACCCTTTGCAGTAAAGACCCTACCTATGTTTCCACGGGAATGAAGTGCGGACCAAAGTTACAAAATTAGCATAGGGCCAAGTTCACTATGGAAAGTTCTCCCCAATTGCTATGTAAGTTATCATTGAACACAAAATTACATTTGGTATGAAAGAGATCTCAGAGAACTTACTCCAGAAAGTCTTTGCTTTTACCCTACCCCATCTGAAAAACATTACTATGTCCTATCGGATGACTGCATTTCACTGACCCTCCTCTATTCCAATATAGTATGATAATGTTAGCTCTTCTTGTTTGTGTTTATTGCTGTATGGATTTTGATGTTTTTACTGAGTTTATGCCTACTTGAATATAATTATCTGAAAAACTAAGGAGCCTGTTAATTACTTCCAAGGTGATATTTACCACTTACTTTTACGTGGCCTGTACCAAAATACTTTCTCCCCAAGAGCAATGTGTATCAGTAGCGAACAATATTAGTATATTTCATGAGATAATTATAAAATATCTAAGAAATAGCACGGCCATGAAATAAAGCTGCTGTCATGGAAACATGTCTTTTCTTCTCCCCTCATAACTGATGGCTGCAGTGCAAATCTTATATTCGAGGATATTCTCCATTCATAGACTTGTTGAAGATAATGAGGAGGCTTGAAAACCAAGGCTAACGGTATTCGTCCCCGTAATTTTGAAATTTTGGAGATTCAAGATCAAATTTCTATTTTGAGGAGCTGACAGAAGTTGGAGATGCATCATTTTGTTCTTCATTGAAACAGGCCGTGTTAGGTGCTTCTAAAACTGTTCACTATTTAACACTCTAGCACAAACATCAGTATTGAACTACAGGATTTTATGCCATGAGAACAGTTGCTATTCATAAAGAGGAAAAGTGATGAGCGCATTTAAGTCATCTATAATTTATCCAGATTCACTGCCAACTTTGTTGTTATAAACAAGGCCAGACTTGCAGATGGAAGGTGGCCCACAGAGGGCGGCTGGCTGTGCTTTCTCGGATCCGTTAGCTCCTCCTCACGGTGACAGATGTCAGGTGCCAGCTTTGTAATCAAAGAGTCACTTGTCTCAAGCCTCCCAAACCTGCCAGAGCCATTCATCAGTATCTGATAACCTGTTGCTCGAGGAAAACTGCTCTACACAGTGGCCAAAATCTGCCCCAGGTTACAGCAGAGAATAAGAAGAAAGAGATTCTATGAGATTTTGGACGAACGTGCTGCTGCTTTCCTGAGAAGCTTGTGTGCAGGGGTTGACATTAAGACCATCAGGAAAAGAAGTTATTAATACTCATATCTTTACTTGACAGCAATGTCTCCATTCAATCAACAAGTACGTCAGGTGCTAATTCATAAGGAACAATAACATTTTCTATCCCAACTTTTGTAATTTTTTAACAGTAGATACTTCAATTGTTGGGTTTTTAGCACAACAGAAAGGATATTCCACATTCTCATCAGTGGTCAGAAGAACATAAAAATTGTCTGTTGTGAATACCCAGTGGACCAAGAGTCCTTGCATCATTCTTGGTAATGTCTCTGTGGCCCACAGATATTTCAGGTTACCTGTCTGAACTCAAAGACTCCAAAATTCTGTCTCCAAATAAATATAAGTACTGAGGGCCCTTTGGTGACTTCTATTAGATAAAATAAGTGAAGCTGGCCCCAAACCATGAAAATAACAGGCAAAAATATGTACTGTTTGTGTGTATTATAAAACAACTTTTTTATAGCTTTAATATTTTCATTTGTAACAGCAAGGAACGCAGAACAAAACTCGATGGAAAGGCATTTTTAAGGTAGTTCTTTTTTTTTAAAATGACATGCTTGATTTCATAAATAAACTTATTGGACATTAGCATGTGTGCTAATTTCTTTAACAAGGTAATGGAATTCATGGAATTGTTTTCTTGCACAGATTTTAGAATTACAGAAAGAAAAGGAAAATATTAATTTTCTTTAGCTTTTTGACTTAATTTGAATGAGAAGAAAGTAGGGCTTGGGCAAGTTTAGACCATAACCAAATATAAAATGATGATAATTAGAAAATGAGTTTGAGTTGCTGGTAACTTAAGAGATTTTCCATTATCATCCTCTTAAGAGTGTTCATGTTATCAAAATAAGATATTAGTTTGAGATAGCCATGATGTGGAACAGGCCACTTGATAGTCAAGATGCCTGAGTTCTGGGGCCAGATCT